AAGGCGCAGTCTGCAGACTTGTACAATATCGGGTATTCGGAGGGTAAAGAAACACTGGGAAAAATATATAAATCTGGATGGTGACTCTGTAGAGATAAGTTAACAACTACAAATCAAAACAAACTTTCTGTCAATTTTTTTTAAAGGTGACAATTAAAACTTTACGATACCCCCTTGTAGCTGAGTTTGTCTGGAAACTCAGTATGCAAAGTTTTCTTGCAGCACCTTTGAGTCTAATTGAAAGACAGAGGTTGGTAGCATGAGCTTTTGTAGACTTGAGTCTACTTCCTCAGATGCATGTGGGTCCATTTTCATTTTAGCATGTGGGTTCATGGATATAAATCTACCTCTTCAGATGCAGTACAGAGTGATAGCAAAGTGTCAGGTTATAAGGTCTACTTATACAGTTGAAGTGGGATAGAATGTAATAGGATCCAGAAAGATGCAAATCATGTCCCTTGCGTTACATTTTCAAAGGGTTGGGTGAGGTGATAGAGATCTTTTCAGCGATCAGTTAGTGTTAATGTGTGAAAGCAATAAATCTGCTTACCAAATATCAGTCTCCTTGGGTTCAAAACTTGCTCTGAGAACATTCCTTTTATTATATGTGAAGTAGCAAGGGCTCTTGTATTATACGTAGTGTGCCATGAAGCCACTGTCTTTGTTTATATTTCTGCTATTGGGCAGGAATATGTGTATATAATTTAATCCAGTGGTACCAGTGATGTGTAGGGAATATAACTGTATGATCCTGGAAGTAGAATTTGGGTTGCTATAATGGAAATGGAAATTCAGGACCTCCAGGAAAACCTTTTCTGAAATGGTAATCTACATGCAAAGGCAGCTAAAGCACTGCATTCATGAATACAGACTGTTTTGGGACAACCTGCGTCTGTAGAGAAAATGGAAAACACAGTCATCCTTTCCCATTCGCAAAGGATCTGTTCCAGACGCCGCCCCCACCCCCTCACGAATCGGAAAAATTGCCAATATTGGGGTCCCATTGACTTCAATGGCCACATACAGCATTTTGTTCCCTTCCCACTTGCCGGCTGTGAAGAGCGAGACCGCGGACTCCAAGCCCGCTAATGGGGAGGGATGCCTGTATACTATTATCAAATGATAAATCAATTTTATCCAAATTATTCAAATGTCTCCTAAAAAGATCTATGGAAGATGTTCTTTTTAATTCTTGTTGTTGTATATTCTACGGACAGTTCAACTTATTTGATTGTATTCTTTGGTTGATTTAAGGGTTTTTAACATTCATATCAATATTTTCAAAACTGAGCAATATTTTATAACCTCTAACTTCAGTTTTCTTTTTTCCTTTTGTATTGATGAGGCTTTAATCCCCCTTTTGAAGAAAAACACCTCAAATAAAAAAATGGTTATTGAAACTGTTTGATGGAATAGAAATGGAGATTTACACAAAGATCTAATAAATATCTGGAATAAAGTTCTAAAATATTTGTCCTAGATATGGGGCAAAATAACTACAGTGGGACTTAATAAAGAATAAAGAAGGAGAAAGTAATTAAATAGATATATATAAAATAGCAGAAGATAGGACAATTGCGCACATGTAATAATACAAATAACTGTTTTATGTAATTTACATGGACGGTTAATGATATATGTAAACTACAGATGGGATAACTTTTCATAAAACTGTTGGAAAAAACAATTTACTTATCATTACTGAGATAGTCTACCTCTATGTTTCCGAAAAATACTATACCAAAGGCTGCAGAAAAGGAAGCAATGAATGTGGTATGGAAGATTGTTATATTGTTTAAACTATTGGTTGTAATTTTTTGATGTAAGGAGTGACAGAGATGTAAGAATGTAAAATCTTTTTAGTGAAATCTTTATTTGTTATGGGTTTGTTTTTTGTTTATTTGTTTGTATGTTGGAAATCAACATAATCATCATCATCATCATCATCAATGTCATCTAGTGGCCTTCCCTGGGTGAACGGGGAATCGAACCCTGATCTTCAGTCGTAGTCCAATATTCAAACCACTGAACCATGCTGTCTCTGGTGAGATCTATTGAACTTTCTTGTATAGATTTTCACCCCAAGGGGCCTCCATACATGAAAGAAATTAGGAGGATTAGCTAATACCCCAGAAGACAGGATGAAAATTCAAAATGACCTTAATAGATTAGAAACCTGCACCAAAACTAACAAAATGAATTTCAACACAGAGAAATGTAAGGCACTGCACTTAGGGTGGAAAAATGAAATGCATAGATGTAAGATGGGGGACACTTGGCTTACTGAGACTACATGTGAAAGGGATCTAGGAGTCCTAGTAGACCAAAAGTTGAACATGAGTTAACAGTGTGATGCGGCAGCTAAAAAGGTCAATGCAATTGTAGGTTGCATCAATAGAAGTATAGTGTCTAGATCAGGGGTAGGCAACC